TGTCAAGGGTTCAAGATATCTAATAATAAATGGAGAATCAAAACCAACATAAATTCTAAGTCTATGTTGATGACCCATTTTAGTGCGTTGGGGTGGTAACATATACAGCACAGCCAAAAACTCGTATTTGAGAGATATTTGGTTGTTTACCAAAAACAAGTTGCAATGGTGAAAACTTATGGTAAGCAGTAAGTCATATACAAACTAATGATGCAGCATGTAATATGGCATGTTTCTAGGCAGAAAGTGGTAATTTTTTTCGCATAAGCAAAGGATGACATTAACTGAAGTCTTTTAATAAAAGATTCTACCAAACTATTTTGAGTATGAGTGTATGCAACAAGATGTTTAACATTAATTCCAATAGACATGCAATACTCATCAAAAGCTTGACAAGAAAATTCAACGGCATTATCAAGACAGATTGTCTAAATTCGATAATCAGGAAAGTGTGCCCGTAATTTGATAATTTGAGCAAGAAGTCTAGCAAATACAATATTACGAGTAGAAAATAGACAAACATGTGACCATCGTGTTAAGGCAATAATTAAGACCATAAAATAGCGAAATGGTCACAGGGTGGATGAATTGGTCCACATATATCCTCGTGAACTCGTTGTAAAAATGGGGGAGATTTAACAATGAATTTTAAAGGGGATGGTCTAATAATCAACTTGCCTTGTGAGCAGACGGTACATAGATGATTATTTGGTAAGGTGATTTTTTGATCCTTTAGTGGGTGTGTATGTGAATTTTCAATAATTCGACGCATCATTGTACTCCTCGGGTGACCAAGTCGATCGTACCAAAGCATAAAAAGTTTTAGGTCACAAGATTTTTTTATGTATCACAGCATTTGACTCATTTGTCCTAATGGTTATATAATATAACCTAAAAGAGAAAATATAGAGTTTTTCTAGTATTAGCTTCTTGCATGAGATAATGGAAGTAATGTAAAGATATTTTACATTTTTTTCGTTTGCGGTCTCAATATGATACCCATTGCGACGCAAGTCTTTAAAACTCAACAGATTTCTCCGAGATCTTATAGAATAAAAGGCATCATTAATTTCTAATCTTGTTCCATGTGAAAAAATAATGTTGGCTCGTCCAAAGTCTTCAATCAAGTCGGTTGAACCTGATATTGTACTGACACTAACATCTGTCAAAGTTAGGTGATAAAAATATTTTTGATCTCGAAGGATTATATGTGTCGTTTCACTATCAACAAGACATATATATTCACCATTTATTTTGGAACCAGTCAGATCCATTCTTATTCATGCAAATTTATTTATTATAAAAGAAATAGATATAACAAAAGAAAATTTAATATAAACTTAAATACTGAAAAAAAAAAATTAATAAAAGGAAAATAAAAACTTGTTAAAGATAACATAGTAGAAAGAACATGAAATGAAAATAGGATTAATTGGTGTGGACATTTCTATCACCAATCAGGTGGTCTGTCTTTCCATCACAGTCCTCAAAAAAATCTGATTCATTTAGATTTGTGATGTCAACTGGCTCATCATGATCAATGAAATTCATTTCTTTCCGTTTCCCTTTTTCTTTCATTGAGGCTTGGTAAAGTTCAGCCAGGTGCTTAGGTGTACGACAAATGCTTCGTCAATGCCCTGTCATTCAACACCGATAACAAGTATTATCATGTGCCGTGGGAGGTTGAGCCACATTCTTCCTTTTTTACTTTAGGGATATGGTGTGGATCTTTGATTGCAAAAGTTTGAGGATTGATATCCTTCAAAGTAATAGGAGTAATTTCTACCACAACCATATTCATTATTGTGATAGTTTTTACCACGGTTGTATTCATTATTATGGTAGTTATTTTTACCACAGTCGTATTCATTATTATAACCATTTCTACCACCACGATCATGTCTGTTACCATATTCATGTCCACGGGATGAAGCAACATATGTTTCAGGGATCGGTGTCGATCCAGTTGGACGAGACTGGTGATTTCTTAATAAAAGCTCGTTATTTTGCTCTGCCACAAGTAAACATAATATCAGCTCTGAATAATTTTCAAATCTACGCTCTCGATATTGTTGTTGTAAGAGTACATTCGAGGCGTAAAATGTAATGAATGTTTTTTCCAACAAAAGTTTATTAGTGATGGTATCACCACATAATTTCAGTGTAGAGCTAATTTTGAATAGGGCAGAGTTGTATTCAGCCACAGTTTTAAAATCTTGCAACCGCAGTTGCTACCAATCAGCTCGAGCTTTTAGGAGGATAACTGTTTTTTGATGATTATATATTTCTTTCAAAAAATTTCACAAACTCAGTAAATCTTTTTTGGTGAGGTATTCAGTTTTTAGTTCCTCACTAATATGGCGAAGAAGGAAAATATGGCTTTCGCTTTATCTTGTAATGATGCATCATTTTTTTCTTTAATTGTGTTTCTAAGACCCATGGCATTTAAATGGATCTGAGTGTCCAGAATCCAAGATAAATAATTTTCGTCAGAAATGTCCAAGGCCATGAATTCCAGCTTTGTCAAGTTTAACATTTTTAGAATAACTAGATGTGACAACAATATAAGAATACAATTTAACATAGTATAAAAATAAGCATATATCTTAATAATAATATGAACTACTATAATTTCGGTATAATTATACAACAAAGGTAGTAAAATCAGCCATAATGAATAAATTATTAAATAATAAAGGCAGTAAAATTAGGTATATCATTAAGTAATAAATGCAGTAAAATCGACCATAATTAGTAGATCATTAAATAATAAAGACGGTAGAACTAACCATAGTTAGTAGATAATTAAATAATAAAGGCGGTAGAACTCAGTAGATCATTAAATAATAAAGGCGGTATAACCGACCATAGTTAGTAGATTATTAAATAATAAGGCGGTAGAACCAACCATAATCTGAGCACATATATCACTTAAGTGGACAAATTAATTTCATGAACAATAATCAATAATTAAGATTTTATTACCCTTTAGAGTCAGAAATACAATTTTATTCAGTAAATCAAACAAACCCAATAATCTATCAAAACTAATATTACAAAAGAGATATATATAGTTGAGATAAAAAGTGAGAGAGATAGCTTATTATTCAAATCTCAAACAGTTAGAGCTTGTGTTAATAATGTCTTATAAATATATATGTATAGAGTAATATTAAGAGAAAGAAAGTAAATGAGTTTTATTGATATATTTCACAAGTATATATATAGAGCAATAGTTATACAAATATATAGGTATAAAAAGAAGCTTTCAAAGTAAGCCACTAATGCAGCCTTTCTTCCCACGCCAAGGTATTCATATATGGATCCCACTTATATAACAACAATCCAAAAGAATTCAATCAATTATTTATTTATTTAAAAAACTATAATATAAATGTTCACCAAGCCTTTTATACACGACACTTAACTCGAAGGACTGAACAAAATTCATATTTCAATTTTGAAAACAATGAACTGAACAACTTAGTTTGGTACCGTGTAGGACTTAAGTCCATTAAATTATTCTACGAAAACACACACACACACTCTAGTACATGTAGCTCAGAGTTAATCTTTGACCAGAAAATCCCACTAGTATCTCCCTGAAATTCAAACTAGAACCGAACCATTTAGTAAAAGTATTTTTAGGGATATTATTTTAATTAATTCTTGGTGTATTTTGATTAAAAGTGTTTCTAAGAAATAAAAGAAAAATGAACAAAGTATGCAAAGCAAGCACAAAAAGTTTGTTTTAAGGCAACATAAAATGATTTGGGGAACGAGAGACATTATGAAAGGATGGGATAGTAATCTGGTCATTATTCTTTATTTTCTTTTCTCTATCTTATCTAAATAAGAACAAGTACCATTTATTTTCTTTTCTTCCCTATCTATTTAAATATGATAAGAAATTATTACTATCATTTCATTTCTTTTCCTAACTAATACTATTTTTTCTTCTCTCCTATGTAACGCACCCTATGGTCAAGTAACCAGAAAGGAAAAGAAAAGAAAAATATTTAAACTTTTTGAAAGTTTGGTCAGAGGGAAAGCGAAAGTTTTGTGGAAAGTAGGATTTCCGCATCTGAAAATTTTCTTCAAAATTTTTCGTGCAAAAACATACTAAAATTTACTTTTCCGCAAAAGTTGTGCACTTTATATATTACTTTTTTATTATACCTATGTTAGTTGTCTCTCTTCTTCTTTACTTAATTACATAGACTTTCTTGAAAATGAGAGTTTAGAGTTTTTTATAAAATCATGTATTACTAATTTAATTGTTTGTATTTTTTTATGTGTGCATAAAAAATTAATTTATTTTTCTTTTATTACTGAATTAATTTTTTTTTTCATATATATATATATATTTGAAATGTCTTAAATAAGTAAAATATTTTTTTCTATAATTGATAATAATTAAGAGCTATTATATATATACATAACTATTTTTTGACAACAAGATTGTTCGGTGAAAACTAGTGACAGTCTAGATTATCTTAACACAATTTGTTTCACACCTAACATTAAATATTTTCTTGAAATAAATAATTGATGATTCTTAAATAGTTTACATAATTAGTCCATGATTTTATTTTCTCATTGAGAAAGTGGTAATTAGATATATAGTATCCAATTACATCATTTACAAATAAATAATAAATAATAAAATTAAAACTAACATAAAGAGACAATAAATACTTGAACTTTGATTCTCCACTCTAACAAAAGCTTATTTTTCTTACCTTACAAAATAAAAGATTGAGAATTCAAATTTACATATGAACAAGTTTTAAAACAAATAATTAAGTATAAATAATATTAATCTAACATAAATTTATTTATTTTTTTACTATTTAAAATTATTAAAATATTTTTAATAAATAAAATTATTATTATTATTAATTTATATTATTTAAATTAATAAAATAATATTTTTTTACAACTTTCTTATTTCACTTTTCATAAAATTTTCAATAAACCAAACAGAGCTAGTGCTAGGGTTTATCAATAGATTCCCTCGTATTGTCTCTTTATCTTCTACTCCAATCACACAACGTGTTGGATGTCGTACCTACCCGTTGCATCCATAGATTTACTAGCCCAAAAAGAAAAAGAATCTATCTCCTTCCTCTCTCTCACCCCAAAACCCTAGACTTGCAAGAATGGCATCAAGAGATCTCACCACAACCTATTCGATACTCCTCTCTAGAATAACTGTTCGTTCCCTCCGCACCTTAGCTCCTTCCTACTCCAATTCCGAGTCAGATATTCCAACTAACGGATCGGATTTGGACTGTCGCTCCAAAGAGCTTCCTCACGCCGAAGGTAAGGAAAACAGAGCATTCAATCGATTTCTGAAAGGGTCAGCATTCCCCTGCAAGGCGGTGAAAGGCGAGAAATATACAAGGTTGGACAGGCCGGGGATCCGGAAGCAAGGGCTGAAACTGTGGGTTGAAGACAACTCTCTGCATGCCGAAGAGGTGGATGATGATTCTCTGTCCGCGGAGGAGTACCCGAGGAATTACTACGGCCACATCGACCTCCCTCAGAGCCGCTACAAGGTAAGAAAGATGGCAACGGAGCTCAAGAACAGTGCTTTCAACATAAAAGTAAGTATTCTTTCCTAGAATCAGATATTAAGTTGTGTTTTGCTATAGAGGGGCAACAAACGTGCAATTTTTTTTAGCCTTCAAAAGGTTGAAACGCAGCCCTACACAAAAGCCACAAGGGTCCCAAAGAGCCCAAAAAAATCGTATCGTCTATTAACCAGCAACAACTAATGAAAACAGAATTAGAAATTCCAATCGAAGACTTCTCCGTCAACCCTCCAAATGCACCACCAAAGGCATAAGGCGCCGATCCCACATAGTATTCTCTTCAAATATTGGCCAAACCTAGGCATGATCCAATGAACACCAAATAGACCAAATAAACAAAAGGCTCCAACAGTCGGTGAATTCAGAAGGAGATGATCAAATTGAATTGCCATTATTCTTACACATGCAACACTGATTGACAGTGATCTGCCTTAGGCCGCCTTCTGCAGGAATGCATGTCCTGAAAGATCAGACAGTCATTGAAATAAAGAGCTCACGTCAAACATCCCTTGAGGAGAAGGCACCCAAACAAGAGAATCTGAACCTCCACCATCAAACTCCTGTCGATAAAGAAGAAAAATATCATTTGGAAATGTCTCAAGAAGCGCACATCCCAACTCCCTGCTATCAAGCCGATAACAGTTGACAACCAAGGCATGCCTATCAACAGTAATTCTGAAGAGCATGGGAAAAGAGAGAGCCAAGGAAGGGACGATCTCCGGACCAAATATCCTCCCAAAATGAATGTTCGTGCTGGCTCGCACTCTGAATATGATATGTTTGGAAAATTCATCCCATCCCTTTCGAATAAATTTCCAGACATCAACACCTCCTCCTAACTGCGAGGGAACACCAACCCACTCTCTCCTCCCCAAAATGGCAAAAGGGATAACCCTCCTCCAAAGCCTCTGGCGCCTTACACCTAATCTGCACAGCTACTTCCCAGGAGAACCTGTAGAATCGCATCAACTTCCTAATCCCTAACCAACCCGACTGAACGTCACAACAGACAAGATAAAACTTGAATTTCTCCCCTAAGCTGCCCCAAAGAAAGTTTATTTGAAGTCTTTCAAATCCTTTTAGCCATTGAGGAAGGAATCTGAAACAGAGAAAATACGAAGGAAGACTTCACAGAGTGCTTTTCATCAAGGTGACTTTCCCACCCTTAGAAAGGTACCTCTTCTTCCACCCAATCAATCTCTTCTCGAATTGCTCAACCATAGGATCCTAGCCACCCATTCTCCTCGACGGAGATCCCAACGACAATCCCAAATAAGAAATAGGAAAGGAACCGACTCCACACTCAAGAAGGGGAGCAAGAGATGAAATGTCCTCGACCTCCCTTAGGAACCAAAGCACTCTTCCCGACATTATCTCAAGTGGGGACACATTGGCATCTTAAAAAGAACCATAGTGTCATCCACAAACAACAAATGAGAAATCTCTAACTGATTAGTGGAATCTCTGCCCACCTTGAAACCCCTTGATGATACCCAGTTCCATAGGTAGGGCTGTAAATGAATCGAGTCGTTCATGAACAGCTCGGGCTCGTTCATTTAGTGAATGAGCTGAGCTCGAGCTCAATTTTGAGACTTGTTTAATAAACGAGCCGAGCTTGAGTAACATTCAGCTCGTCTTGTTAGGCTCGCTAGCAAGCTTGTTAATTTGATGCCCCATTTATATTTACCATTCTACATTTAAAAAGGTTTAGCCCATATGAATATAAGTTTGGCCCAACTCACATCATCTCGTAAATAAAGGCCCAAACAATTATAATTCAATAGCCCATTATCCAAATAAGATATCAACCATTAGAATTTAGTGCGTCTCAGCCGTTGGTTTGTAAAGTTAAAGAGATGAGAATAATAAACCTAAATTAGAAGCCTACAGAGACACATCATCTTCAGTCCTTCTTCAGCTCTGCAACGTTATATCGCCAGGAGCCCTCCTTCTTCTTCAGCTTCGCAACGTTATATCGCCAGCAGCCCTCCTCAGCTTCACTGCGTTGTCTCACCCGCAACCCTCCTCTCTCTAATTGATCTTTAAGGTAAAGCAGTTCAATATATTTGTAGATCGAGTCTGAGAAAAATTTGTAAGTTGTAAGGATTGAATATCTTAAATATATGTTCTGTATTTTTTTTTTTTTTTTCCTTGTCGGAGGTCGAGATCCGATTAATTTATCGGAGATGGAGGTGAGATTTTATGGAAGAGATTAGGTGATTTCTTGAATTGGTGGTGGTTGGGTGTGTAGCCGAGCTCGAGCTTGTTGAATTTCTACCGAGCCAAGCTTGTCTGAGCCGAGCCCGAGCTCGAGCCCAAGCACTTCTCTGAAGTTGACGAGCCGAGCCCAAACAAGCCAAAGCTCGGCTTGGTTCATTTGCAGCCCTATCCATAACCCTCCCCATACCAGTGATGAATAAGAATAGGGAAAGAGTATCACCCTCCCGTAAACCCCGCAGTTGCTAAAGAAGCTTGCTGGAGATCCATTCCCCGAAACACACGAGCTATAAATTTAATTCATGCAAAAAAGGTTATATGTCAATGTCCAATGTTATTTAGTCACTTGCTTTAGAGGATGGGGTTCGGAGATAGGTGGAGGAAATGGATCGAAACATGCCTTTCGTCCGTCATGTTCTCTGTTCTTGTGAACGGATCTCCTGTTGGTTTTTTTTGGGAGTTCTAGAGGTTTGAGACAAGGAGATCCCTTGTCGTCTTTTCTATTCTTTATAGTCATGGAGGGTTTGAGCAGACTAATGAGGAAAGCGGAAGATTTGGGCTACATCAGGGGGTTCAGAGTCGGCAGAGATGTAGCACATTAGATAGAGATTTCCCATTTGTTGTTTGCGGATGATACCTTGGTTTTTTGTGATGTCGATGTCTCCTAACTTAGATATTTGAGGCGCATTATTGTTTGTTTCCGGGTAGTGTCTGGGCTTAAGATCAATGTTGGAAAGAGTGTGTTTGTCCCGGTAGGGGACATTTCGGATATTTCTTCCTTAGCTGCAGTTCTTGGGTGTGGGGTGGGTGCTTTTCCTCCCCCTTATTTGGGATTGCCTTTGGGGGTCTCCTCTAGGAGAGTGGGGAGTTGGGATCCGGTGATTAATAGGTATGAGAAGAGGTTGGTAGGATAGAAGAAACAATATTTGTCGAGGGGGGGGGGGGGGGGGAGGTCACTGTTATCAAGAGTACTATATTGTCCCTTCTTACGTATTTTTTTTTTTTTTTAATCTCTGTTTCAAATCCCATGTTCCGTCGCTGAAAGGATTGAAAAAATTCAAAGAGACTTTCTATAGGGTGGAAGGGGGGAAGAGTTCAAGTATCATCTTGTTAATTGGGAGCAAGTTTGCAAACCTTTGAAGTTAGGAGGTTTGGGCATCCGAAAGTTGGTTCCTTTAAACAAAGCTCTATTGGGAAAGTGGCTATGAAGATTCGGTAGGGAACGACATCGTCAGTGGAGAAGGATTGTCTCGTGTCGTTTTGGAGAGGAGAGTGGTGGCTGGTCCTCCCGTCCAGTCTCTATTGCGGGAGGTGTTGGGGGGTGGAAATTTATTCGGAAGGGTTGGGATGTCTTTTCTTCACACATCAGATTCAAGGTCCGTGATGGTAAGCAAGTCCGCTTTTGGGAGGATTTATGGTGTGGAGATCAGTTGTTGTCTTATTTCTTTCCTAGACTTTTTAGTGTTACGGAAAAAAAGCACGCTTACGTAGCTGACTGTTATCAGCTTGATAGTAGTGGGGTTACGTGGGATGTGTGATTTAGGAATTTTTTCAGGATTGGGAGATGGACGAGGTATGTGCTTTTTTGAATTTGTTGTATCAGCAGAAGGATGTTAGTAGAGGTAGTGATGACATTTTGTGGTTCCCTTCCACTCATGGTAGATTTGGTGTTCGATCCATGTTCTTTGTCTGTCAAATTTTGATAGTCATGAATTCCTATGGAAGACTATATGGCGTTCTAAGGCTCCACTTAGAGTCGCATTCTTTGTTTGGACTATCGTATAGGGTAAGATTTTGACGTTGGACAATTTGAGAAAGAGGGGTAACATTATCGTTAATTGGTGTTGCCTATGTAAAACAGACGGTGAGTCTGTAGGTCACATTCTTATGTACTGTCCTGTGGCGTATGATTGTTGGAACCTCATCTTCGGCATTTTTGGAGTACATTGGGTAATGCCTCAGTCCTCAATAGGACTGATTAATGCCTGGAGAAGATGCTCAGTGAAATGTCAAGCTCGTGACTATTGGAGGATTGTTCCACATTGCGTTTGATGGTGCATATGGAGAGAAAAGAATAGCAGAAATTTTGAAGGAAAGGAATCGTGTTTGGCGATTTTGAAAATTCATATTCTTCGTTCTATTTTCTGTTATGTAAGGGGAAACGCTTGCTCCTCGACCGATGACTTAATTGATCTTTTGGACTCTATTGGTCCTTAGGTTCAATTTTCGTTTTTTGTATTAGGACACGTTCCCCTTTTCAACGCTTTTCTATTCGACTTTTACTTATCAAAAAAAAAAAAAAATTGTTATTCAGTCACATGTCAGGTAGATACTTGTGAAGTCTCAAACACATTTTCAAAATCAAAAATCTAATTTTAAAATTATGACGACATTCAACATTTGTTTAGACATGTCCAAGAAGTATCAACTTTCCTTATGGTATCTTCCTCGTGGAATTGTGTGTGGGTTTTGAGGTAGCAATAGTGAAAGATTTATTGTTATGACAAACATTGCGAACCAAAAATACAATCAAGAAGAATCATGACAAAAAGGTAAAAACGCCACACACAAAGAACACAAAGATTCATGTAGTTCGACAAAGTTTACATCCGCGATGAAGATCCGATGAAATATTTCACCATGCGAAAAATAGGTGATTATAAGTTTCAGCCCCCAAACCCTAGCTCTCAGTTTCACTCTCGTTCTTGCCGAACCTTGCCCAGAAAGGTTATTTCCTTGTGGGCCGTTGATGCCTACTCTCCAACCATTTCATGATTCATCCCTTGACACTTTGA